CCGCTGGCCAAGGTTTGTTAGCAACGATATTCCTTAATAGCAGTCATGCTCTCTGTGCTCAGATCTTATTTGGACAAATACAGCAAGACCCCACGTCTGGTCCATGTAGGCAACTACTAAGGATCCATCCCAGGCAATCACTTTCCATAAGAAGTAGTGGATTTCTGCCTCCTCACAGCCTTCACAGTCCATGCGTACATGTGCCCAGGGAAGAGCTCAGAGAAGCTCCCAGCAGGCAAAAATTTACTAGTTTCAAAATATGTATATACAGAAACAGAGGTAATAGCCTTACAGGTTTTTTTTAAAAAAAACCTGTAAGGTTTTATTTATTTTCATCTACTTGAAAGGAGAGAGAGAGAGAGAGAGAGAGAGAGATATCTCCCATCTGCTGGTTGACTCCCAGATGCCTGGAGCATTCTGGGCTGAGGCAGGCTGAAGCCAGGCGCTGGGATCGCCATCTGGGTCTTCCACGTGGGTGGCAGTGGCCCAAGAATGTGAGCCATGATCTGCTGCCTCCAGGATGCGTGAGCAGGAAGCTGGGCTGAAGAGGAGCAGTAGGCACTGTGATACGGGAGGCAAGCATCCCGGAGACCACTGAACCCACTGCAACCCAGAGCACACCCAGCCTTGTGACTGGCGGTGGACTTGGACTTGGCAGTAGGTAGGAGGTAGCAGTAAATGCCTGTTCATCGGAACCCACCCTAGGCCTAAGACCTAGGCCTTCAGCACTCCCTGACAGCCCCTGCCATCTGGGCAAAGCTGGAGGACTCTGAACCTGATGGGTTCATAGCAAAGAAATTGTGACTCAGGATTTGATGTTTTAGGGGCTGACCCTGTGGTGTAGCGGGTAAAAGCTCCCGCCTGCAGTGCTGGTTCAAGTCCCAGTTGCTCTACTTCCGATCCAGCTCCCTGATAATGTACCTGGGAAAGCAGCAGAGGATGGCCAAAGTCCTTGGGCCCCTGCAGCCATGTGGGAGACCCAGAAGAAGCTCCTGGCACCTGGCTTCTGATTGGCCCAGCTCCAGCTGTTGCAGCCATCTGGGGAGTGAACCAGTGTATGGAAGACCTCTCTCTCTCTGCCTCTGCCTATCTGTAACTCTGCCTTTCAAATAAATAAATAAAGCTTAAAGATTTTTGGTATTTCATTAAGATTTTTTCCTTTATAGAATATAAAATTGAAAAACAGAAAAATAGAAAAACCTACCAAGCCCTATCATTTAGTTGCCATCACTGGGGACATCTTGGTGTGTTTCATATATTTACTGGTTCATTTAATGAAAACAGTACTTCTTCTTTTTTTTTTTTTTTTTTTTGACAGGCAGAGTGGACAGTGAGAGAGAGAGACAGAGAGAAAGGTCTTCCTTTGCCGTTGGTTCACCCTCCAACGGCCGCCGTGGCCGGCGCGCTGCGGCCAGCGCACCGCGCTGATCCGATGGCAGGAGCCAGGAGCCAGGTGCTTTTCCTGGTCTCCCATGGGGTGCAGGGCCCAAGCACCTGGGCCATCCTCCACTGCACTCCCTGGCCACAGCAGAGAGCTGGCCTGGAAGAGGGGCAACCGGGACAGAATCCGGCGCCCCAACCGGGACTAGAACCCGGTATGCCGGCACCGCTAGGCGGAGGATTAGCCTAGTGAGCCGCGGCGCCGGCCCGAAAACAGTACTTCTAACAAGCGCTATGTAGAACTTGTAGAATTTCCTTCCAATCTTTCTCTAGGCATTTTGGTACATGCAAAAATGATTTCAACACATCTAAAATCACAGGAACAGCCTCAATATTCATAAAAGAAACTTCACTCTCTCAGTTCTATCAATAGCTGTGAACACCTTGGACACTTCAGCTTTAACTGACTCTGTTGCTCTCCCCCTTGTTCTTCTCACTTCTAATTATGAACTCCAAGTGGGAAAGATGAGTGGGCATCAGTCAGGGAAAATCATGTTTGGGGTGGAATCTGTAGGAGCCTTTCCAGCTCCCACTACGTCTATTCCAACCCTCGCACCCCCCTCCCCCTTCTCCTTCCCTCCCTCCCTCCCACCCTTCCTCCTTCCCTTCCTTCCTTCCTTCCTTCCTTCTTTCTTAAAAATTTTTTTTTAATATTTATTTACTTTTGGGGCCAGTGCAATATTGGGTAAAGCCGCCCCCTGCAGTGCTGGCATCCCATATTGGTGCCAGTTGGAGTCCCAGCTGCTCCACTTCTGATCCAGCTCCCTGCTAATGTGCCTGGAAAGGCAGCTGAAGATGGCCCAAATCCTTGGGCCTCTGAACCCACATGGGAGACTTGGAAGAAAATCCTGGCTCCTGACCTATTTAGGGAGTGAACCAGTGGATGGAAGACCTCTCTCTCTCTCTTTCTTGCTTCTCTCTCTCTCTCTGTCACTCTGCCTTTCAAATAAATAAATAAATCTAAGGGCCGGCGCCATGGCACAGTAGGTTAATCCTCCGCCTGCAATGCTGGCATCCCATATGGGCGCCGGTTCTAGTCCCGGCTGCTCCTCTTCCAATCCAGCTCTCTGCTGTGGCCTGGAAAAACAGTGGAAGATGGCCCAAGTCCTTGGGCCCCTGCACCCGCATGGGAGACCAGGAAGAAGCTCATGGCTCCTGGCTTCGGATTGGCACAGCTCCAGCTGTTGCAGCCACTTGGAAAGTAAACCAACAGATGAAGGACCTCTCTCTGCCTCTGCCTCTCACTGTCTGTAACTCTACCTGTCAAAATAAATAAATAAAAATCTTAAAATAAACAAATAAAAAAATCTAAAAAAGAGAGCTTTATTTGCTCTTAAAAACATTGAAGTTTTTAAGAAAGATTTATTTATTTGAAAGAGTTACAGAGAGGCAGAGAGAGAGAGAGAGAGAGAGAGAGAGAGAGAGGTCTTCCATCCCCTAGTTCACTCCCCAAGTGGCTGCAATGGATGGAGCTGAACTTATCTGAAGCCAGGAGCCAGGAGCTTCTTCCTAGTCTCCCACATGTGCAGGGGCCCAAGGACTTGAGCCACCTTCTACTGCTTTCCCAGGCCATAGCAGAGGGCTGGATCAGAAGTGGAGCAGCTAGGTCCTGAACTGGTGCCCATATAGGATGCCAACACCACAGGCAGTGGCTTTATCTGCTATACCACAGCACTGGCTCTTACAGTTTTTTTTTTTTTAATAATAGCAATTGTACATATTTGTGGGGCACAGTGTGTTGCTTCTGTATGTGTAGACAACGTGCACTGAGCTAACCAGGGTGAACAGCATCCCTCCTCTTTATCACTACTTTGTGAGTGGAGCCCTGGTGCTCCTCTCTTGTATCTGCTCAGAAAACACATAATAGCTTATTGTGAGCGACAGTCACCCTCTCTGCTGTGCAACACTTGGAAAATATTCCTTCTGTCCAACTCTCATTTGACATCTGTTATTCAACCCCTGGTGCCCCGACCCTGCTCTCAGACTCTTACAGAAAGATTTATTTTGTTTGTCTGAAAGGCAGATTGACAGAGAAGGAGAGCCAGAAAGAGAGATAGATAGATAAAGAGAGAGAGAGAGAGAGAAACCTTCCATCCATTGGTTAGCTACCCAAATGCTGCAAATGTTGGGGCTGGGCCAGGCTAAAGCCAGGAGCTGGAAACTACATCCGGTTCTCCCACGTGGGTGGTAAAGAACCAGGTACTTGGCCCACTTTCCACTGCCTTCCCTGATACGTGTAAGGGCACCAGATCAGAAGCAGAGTGGCTGGGACTCACACCAGGGCTCCGATAGGGGATGCCAGTGTCACAGGTGGTGGCTTAACCCGCTGTGCCGCAATGTCGGTCCCTCGGCCTCTTTTATTTACTTACTTAAATATTTATTTATTTGAAAAGCAGAGTTATATAGAGCAGAGAGAAAAAGAGATCATCTCTCTCTCGGTTCACTCTCCAAATTGCCACAACTTCCAGGGCTGAGCCAGACCAAAGCCAGGAGCCAAGAACTCCATCCAGGTCCCCCATGTGGGTGGCAGGGGCCTTGGCTTGGGCCGTCTTCCACTGTCTTCTCAGGAGCATTAGCAGGGAGCTGGATCAGAAGCAGAGCAGCCAGGACTTGAGCCGGTTCTCTTAGGAGATGCCAGCGACTTAACCCACTGAGGCACAAGACTGGCCCTAGTGTCTTCTTTTAACTGACACGTGAAAATTGTATATTTGTGTATTTTATAAAAATTGCATGTTTATTATACTATGTGTTGTGTAGTGTTAGGTTACAAGAGCTTTATGCACCAATAAGGCCAAGAGGTCACTGGTTGAAGCAGGAGAGTTTTATGGAAAACAGGATAGCAGAGAAAAGAGGGGGATAAAAAGTTCAGCAGACAGTGAGCAGGGGTCTGAAAAGAAATTCATCCCCAGGGCCTATTTATGCAGTTTGTTGGGAGGAGGCCATGTAGACGTGCAGAGACCCATGTATCCACAATAAGGGGGATTTGAACGTGCAGAAGGCCCCTGATTCACAGAGTCTGAGCTTGTCAGTTGGTTATGTCCAGGGCAAGTGGGCAGCTCTAAGAGCCAAAGCCAGCAGAATCTTAGATGGTAAAATACCATCGTGACATCTTCAGGGTTGTTTTTAATTGGTGCCCAGTGTGCCAGGTATGAAGTTAACCCTGGGGCTGGTGCTATGGCGCAGTGGGTTCAAGCCCCAGCCTGCAGCACCAGCATCCCATATGGGCACCGGTTCAAGTCTTGGCTGCTCCTCTTCCGATCCAGCTCTCTGCTATGGCCTGGGAAAGCAGCAGAAGATGGCCCAAGTCCTTGGGCCCCTGTACCCGTGTGGGAGACCTGGAAGAAGCTCCTGGTTTCTGGCTTTGGATCAGCTCAACTCTGGCCATTGCGGTCATTTGGAGAGTGAACCAGCGGAATGGAAGACCTCTCTTTCTTGGCTCTACTTCTCTCTGTAACTCCTCTGTCTTTCAAATAAATAAAATCCTTAAAAAAAAAAAAAAAAAAGTTAACCCTTTGTGTCCCATGGCCTAGCAAGTCCTACATGTAGATTCACACGCACCCTGGTAACGTACCTGAACCCTCTGGTGCACTCTGGGTCACGTGCCCCTTCAGTGCTGGCTGTACAGGATGGACAGTCTTCCCTTCCCGCTCCCTGCTGGGAGCTGCAGGGGCTCCACCTGTACTCAGCACTGGAGCAGTTCCTCTCCGGGTCTCAGTCCCGTCTCCCTCCTCTGGAGGCCCTGGTCCCTGAGAGCAGCTGTGAACGTGTCCAGGCCCACCTCGCCACACCTTGACAAGACTGCATCTGGTGACTGCAGCTGATGCGGCCGACGTCCCGCAGGCCCTCAGCCCAGGCTGAGACCCCCGCAGTTACAGCTGGCAGTGCCCAAGGTGCCAGTAGCATCCCACGCTCACTCCACGCCTATGTCTTCTCCCTCATTTCTCTCCCTGCTTCTCAAGCCTGAGTCTTCACCATTTTCAGGTTTTTGGAAAAGAGTCTTAGCATGTATGAGAGTCTATTGCTGTGCAGAGCAGCAACCCCCGGAAGGGGACGGAGGGCTGGTGCAGGTGGAAGGACATTGGGGTGAGATTCCTAATGTGGATAAGCTAAGGCAGCTAGGTAGATACTAGCCTGTGTGTGTAAGAGGGGCCAAAGCAAATGAGGATTATTTTTTTAAAGAAATAAAATTACGCACAGTGGGAGGAAGAAAGAAGCCCTGGAAGCAGACCGAGCCCCTTGTCTGTTTCCATCTCCGTTAGCCCAAGGTGTTCCTGCCCTTCCTGTATCTAAGAATTCACCGACTTGAGGGAGTGATCCAGCTGACCTGATAATTCTAATCACTGGACTAAAGCGATCATTTGCTTCTCTGATAGATAAGAACCTTGTTGGCCAACAGTGGCCAGAGAGATTTGTTTAGGGGAATTCCATTCCTAAAGTAATTGCCTTGCAACCCTGTTAGATGAGTCTCAGCCCCTCCCTGGGGCAGCTCAGGGCAGTCCCACCTGCCCTTCACCAAGGGGACTGTTGAGATGTCCTGGGAGGGGTTCCCTGGCCCAGAAAGCCCAGAGCCTGGGAAGGGTGTAGGGGGAACAGCAACAAAGATCCACACTCTGCGCCATGAAAACCTCAGTCCCAGTGCACACTGGGCTCTCGGTCTCCCCTGAGACGCCTACCTGCTCTATCAGGTGTAGGGGTTTGTCTCTTTACTGTTTCAATAAAACTTTGCCAAAGTTGCCTTCTGGTCTGCTTGGTCATCCGCCTCATACTTTGTCACCCATGGGACAAGTTTTGGGTGCTAGTAGTAACGGATACTTCGTAAGTGTGTGACCTCTGTATTTTAGGTATTGGGTCCAGGTTTCTACTCCTACGTTTGTACCTTGTGAGCATGTGACTCTGTGTGTGTTTAAATCAACTCTTTTCTGAATTTAAAAGATACACACCTATGGTTAAAAAAATAAGCATATCAAACACAGACCCTTAACCTCCTTCCCCAGAAGCAACAACCGTTGCCAAATTTCTGTTGTATTCTCCCACAAACATTCTAGGCATGCACGAACTTGACATCTAATGAAGATATCCCTGCTGACAAAGGAGGCGCCTTATCTATGTAATGTGTGTACCGGAGGTCACCACTCCACTCTCCCTGCATCCCTTTAATAGGTGTGGCCTTGCTAGGAAATCCCAAAACACACACAGGCTCCCCCTTTTCAACAGCCAGTTTGGTTGTTTAACTCGTCTACCGTCACAAAAATTCTGCCTTGAGCATACACACATGTCTGCACACATGCACAACTATACTTTTTTTTTTTTTTTAAGATTATTTATTTGAAAGACAGAGTTACAGAAAGGCAGAGGAGGGGGCAGAGAGAAAAAAAGAGAGAGGTCTTCCATCTGCTGATTCACTCCTCAAATGACCACAACAGCTAGAGCTGGGCTGATCTGAAGCCAGGAGCCATGACCTTCTGCGTCTCCCACATGGTTGCAGGAGCCTAAGCAATTGGGCCATCCTCTACTGCTTTCCCAGGCCATAGCAGAGAGCTGGATCAGAAGTGGAGCAACTGGAAATGGAACCGGTGCCCATATGGGATGCCAGCACTGCAGGCAGCAACTTTACCCAATACACCACAGCACTGGCCCTACAACCAATACTTTCAATACAAGGTAGAATCAATGTTTTACAATTTGTTAATTGTAGATGCCAAATAATATTATTTATTTTTATTTGCATTTCTTTCTCTTTTTTAAAAGATTTACTTATTTATTTGAAAATCAGAGTTACAGTGAGAGAGGGAGAGACAGAGAGAGCTCTTCCATCCCCTGGTTCACTCCCTAAATGGTTGCAATGGCTGGGGCTGAGCCAGGCCAAAGCCAGGAACTAGGAGCTTCTTCCAGGTCTCCCATGTTGATGCAAGGGCCCAAAGACGTGGGCCATCTTCTGCTGCTTTCCCAGGCACAGTAGCAGGGAGCTGGATCAGAAGTAGAGCAGCTGGGACTTGGGCTGGCCTCAATATGGGACACCAGTGCTGCAGATGGCAACTTGACCCACTACGCCACAGTGCCAGCCCCATGGTTTGCATTTCTTATGGGCGAAGTTGGAAGTTTTTGTGTTTATAGAACTATTTATATTTCTTTTTCACTGAACTGCCTGTTCCCATCTTTTGCCTATTTTTCTATCTTGGCAATGTATAAGGTAGAAGAAAATTCTTAGGTTTTTAAAAAATTGTTATGGTCTTCAACGGGGATGGGAGGAACCTAAGTACTTGAGCCATGGCCTGATGCCTCCTAGAGGACTGCGTTAGCAGAAATATTGGAATTGGGAGCAGAGCTGGAAATCAAACCCAGGCACTCTGATATGGGATGGGTGTCTTAGCCACTATGCCAAACACCCACCTCAAAATTTCTCATGTTAAGAAACTGATTCTGGGCCAGCGCCATGGCTCACTAGGCTAATCCTCTGCCTGCGGCGCCGGCACCCCAGGTTCTAGTCCCGGTCGGGGTGCCGGATTCTGTCCCGGTTGCCCCTCTTCCAGGCCAGCTCTCTGCTGTGGCCCAGGAGTGCAGTGAAGGATGGCCCAAGTGCTTGGGCCCTGCACCCACCCCATGGGAGACCAGGAGGAAGCACCTGGCTCCTGGCTATTTGGGGGGTGAACCAACGGAAGGAAGACCTTTCTGTCTGTCTCTCTCTCTCATTGTCTAACTCTGCCTGTCAAAGAAAAGAAAAGAAAAGAAAAGAAAAGAAAAGAAAAGAAAAGAAAAGAAAAGGAAACTGATTCTGGGGCTGGCACTGTGGCATAGTGGGTAAAGCCACCACTGGCATCCCATATGGGCTCTGGTTCATGTCCCGGCTGCTCCACTTCCGAGCAAACTCTCTGCTATGGCCTGGGAAAGCAGCAGAGGATGGCCCAAATGCTTGGGCCCCTGCACCCATGTGGGAGACCTAAAAGAAGCTCCTGGCTCCTGGCTTCAGATCGGCTCAGCTCTAGCCACTGGGGCCACTTCGGGAGTAAACCAGCAGATGGAGGACCTTTCTCTCTGTCTCTCCCTCTCTCTGTCTGTAACTCTACCTCTCAAATAAATAAATCTTTTTTAAAAAATATTTATATTTTTTATTTTAAAGACAGAGTTACAGAGAGAGGGAGAGACAGAGAGAGAAGTCTTCCATCTGCTGGTTCACTCCCCAGATGGCTGCAATGGCCAGAGCTGTGCCAATCCGAAGCCAGGAGCCAGGAGCTTCTTCCAGGTCTCCCACGTGGGTGCAGGGACCCAAAGACTTGGGCCATCTTCTACTGCTATCCCAGGCCATAGCAGAGAGCTGGATCGAAAGAGGAGCAGCCAGGACTTGAACTGGCACCCATATGGGGTGCCAGCACTTCAGGCCAGGGCATTAACCCGCTGCGCCACAGCGCTGGCCCCTCAAATAAATAAATCTTAAAAAAAAAAAAAGAAAGAAAGAAACTGATTCTCTTCATGCCGAATTTGAAATTTTTAGACAATTTTATTTTCTTTCCAGGCTTTTCAATTTTGTGTCTTGTTTGAAAACCCTTTTTCCCTTCAAAATTATGTGAAATTATTTGTTAATTTTTTTCTAGTATCTTTTCAGGTTCATTTTACATTTAAGACGCTGTCTGGGGGAGTGGGCGTCTAGCCTAGCAGTTAAAATGCCAGCCTCCCTTATCAGAGTACCTGGGTTTGACTTCCAGCTCTGGCTCCTGACTCCAGCTTCCTGCTACTGCAGGCTCTGGGAGGCAGAAGTAATGACTCAAATAATTGGGTTCCTGACACCCACATGCGAGACTTGGATTGCACTCCCAGCTCCTGACTCCGCCCCAACCCAGCCCTAGGTTGTGGGCATTTGGGGAACGAACCAGTGGCTGGGAGTTGCTTGCACACTCTCTCTCTCTCTCTCTCTCTCTCTCTGCCTTTCAAATAAATTTTAATGTAAAAAGACTCTATCTGAAAATTATTTTAGGTAGCAATCTGCGGTAATCTTTTCTTCTTTCCTAATTTTTTAAAAGATGTATTTATTTATTTGAAACAGAGAGCTACAGAGGGAGAGACTGAGATCTCCCATCCGCTGAATCCAGGAGCCAGGAGCCTCTTCCAGGCCTCCACATGGGTAGCAGGGGCCCAAGCACTTGGGCCGTCTTCTGCTGCTTTCCCAGGCCATTAGCAGGGAGCTGGATCAGAAGTGGAGCAGTGGGGATGTGAACTGGCTCCCACACGGGATGCCGGCACTGCAGGTGGCAGCTTTGCCTGCTACACCACAATGCCCGCTCTCTTTTCTAATCTTGGCTCTTTGATCAATGACCCAGCTTCCTAGAGGAGTTCCAGAACATTCCAGACTTCCTAGATCCTTGGGAACGTGACTGAGCCTGGCTTACTGACCCTTGGCTGGTTGTTACCTCCAATCCTTCAGTCCTCTCCTACTCCCTCAGTCCTTGGTCCAGGCCCCAGGGGACCCTGAGCAGACTGCTCTCGGGGGGGCACGTGGGTTCCAGGAGGCCCCAGAGGCCTGGATGCTTATTTGACTCCGAGTCACGGCTGTGACACTTCCTCTGTAAATCTGGCCCTGGCTCCCTTCCACCCTTCCCTCCCATCCCATCCGTGCACAGCGCAGCCAGCTCTTCTGCAAGGAAATTTGCATGATGCAGGAGCAGGACAGCTTTTAGGGTCAGCTTCACTGAGCCATGGTCTGCCTGGCTGCCCCCCAGCTGCTCCTGGCTGTGACCCTGCCCCTGCTGGGGTCACCAGGTGCCACAGCGTCCCAGCCGGTAAGTCCAACAGTGGGGAGGGGCCCCCACATTGCGAGAGAGCAAGCTGTGGGGTGAAGGGCAGGTGGAGCTGGGAGGGCAGAAGGCAGAGGAGCCAGTGCAGGAGAGAGGCTGTCCTGTTCCCCCGCGGATTCAGGATGTCAGGGGATAGCTTTAGTTCCTCTGAGTCCCTGCGGGTCCCGGTGGTATGACCACACTTCTGACAAAGGCCCTTCCAGTCAACTTGGCAATTTAAAAGGAAAACTCTCCAGACTTGTGAACCATTGGTGTGGCGGACAGAAGAGACTATAAAGCAAGGCCACAGAGTCTAGATGAGTACTTTTAAATTTATTTATTTATTCACGTATTTATTTATTTACAGAGAGGGAGCGAGAGCACACTCCTTTCCATTCAAATGCCCCAACAGGTAGGACTGGGCCAGGCCCACGCTGGGAGCCCAGAACTCCATCTGGGTCCTTCATGTGCATGGCAGGAACTCAGGTACCCGAGCCGCCATGAGCTTGCACATTAGCAGTAAGCTGGAGTCAGAAGCAGAGCCAGGACTCAAATCCGGGCACTCGGACACAGGACAGAGGTGTCGAGCAGGCTGAATGCCTGCCCCTAGATGACAGCCCTTCATGTTCTCCCAGGAGGACATCGATATCTTCATATCACTCTACCTCTAAATCTACATGTAACGTTAGCCAAAAGTATCTATTTAGCATTATTTAAATCTCTCTGTACCTTACCCATACCCATATCTAGCTCATGTCTAATTCTGGGTTTGGAAGATAGCCACATGCACACGCGATTTTGAGAGAGGAAGGAGTTGGTGCAGAAATCATCTACAGGAACAGAGACCACTCACCCTGTGTCAAATTCTCCCAAGAGAATTAAATCCTTAAGCTGCTGAGTCCCCACCGCTCTGCCCGACACCCCACCACCCCCACCCGCTCAAGTGCCAGACCCAGTCATCTCAATCAGCCTAGAGGCCCAGGGACAAGGAAATGTAGGAAGGAACTAAGCAAAGCATGTTGACTGCCCAGGGAGTGCCTGTGCCTGGGCGCTGTTGGGATTGTGGGCCCTAGCGGGGTCCTGGGTTGCATCCCGAAACTCCCTGTCACCTGGCTTTCCTCTCCTTGTGTTCTCTTGACGCCCAGGAGAAGGCAAAGTAGCCAAGAGAGCCATTCACACTGGGGCGTCCAGGCTGGCCCTGCCCCAGGGGGACTCGGGACAGCCCCTTCTCAGAGGGCCCCCTCTGTGCTCTCTTCCAGGACCAGAGTCAGGCTGGAGGGGAGTCTGGGCAGCCCCTGAACCAAGAGCGTGGAGCAGGGGGTGAGTGGACAGACAAGAGGCAGGGGCAGGAGGAGGTGGGGGTGGGGAAGGAGGCAGCAGGAAAGGACTAGGCGAGGGCTGGGGGCGGAGCAGTAGGGTGCAGAGAGGGCTGGCTCTGGCCTCCGCCACACACGACCGCGCCAGTGTTCCAGCTCCGAGGCCTCCAGAGACACCTTTGTCTTTGCACGCCTCCTCCATGCCGTGGGAGTCGCCGTGAGGGTGACCTGAGACCGCGTGTCTGAACGCACCTGCCTGGGCGCGGGGCTGCTTGCTGTCTGTTCGCCCACCCAGACCACAGGTGCGGGCGGCGAAAGGGTTGAGGCCTTGCTGCACCCCCGTCTCCAGCTGTCCCCTCTGCTCCTGTGTAGAATCAGTCCCGGTCGCCATCTATGTCCAGCTGGACTCTCCGGACGAGACCTGGCTCCCTGTGCTCTCCGAGAGCCTGACTCTCCCCACTGCCTTGCCTTCCTCTTCTCCAAGAACCCTCACTGGCCTCAGCCTCACTACAGGTACCCCCTGCATGGGACCAGCTTCCCAGTCCTCCCCTAGCCCAGGCCCTGGGGTGCTGCGAGCGCTTCTCTGTTTCTGGGGGCGCTGCCTGCTCCCTTCTCCCTGGCTTGGCTTCCTCCTCACCTCCCCACTAGTCAGACCCGGCCCTTTCTGCCCATGCGTTTGTCGTCTAGCTTCTGCTGAGGGCCCCAGGGTGGACTGTGGAGCCCAGATGTGCTCACGCCCTGCCTGACGCTCTCGGCTGGTGCGACCTCCGGCTCTGAACCTTGACTTTGGAGGGAGCCCCAATTTGGGGGCGGGGTGGGGTGTGTGTATGTGACTTATCCAGACACGTAGCCTGCCGCCCGGCCCCAACCTCCTCAGCCAGCCCTCTCCTCACCACCCTTCTGTCCTCTACCAGTGTGCAATGTCAGCCGCCAGGGGTACATCTCCTGTACTTGCCGCGCTGGGTACCAGTGGGACAGCAGCTCCTGCTCCCGTCACCGTCCCTGCTCCTGCTCCGACAGACACCTGCCCTGTAGCTGCCTTGTCTTCGAGCATTCTAAACCAGGCTATTGCCAGTTGCTGCCACCTGGTGAGGAGGGCTGGGAACTTGGAAACAGCAGCCTCCAGGGGAGAGACAAATGTTCTCCGTGTTTGTCCTTCTCTGAAGCTGTGTCTGCCAGCTGGCCCCGTCCCGCTGCTCCTCTGAGTGCACGAGAAAGCCAATCATCCTAGCAGACCCTGAACTTGGGACCTGAGTAGGAGACCAGAGGATGGGGCCCCAGGGCTGGCCGGCTGAGGGGAGACAGAGCGCAAGCGATCTGCTTGGTGGGGGGTGGGGGAAGCGGGGGCAGGAAGCAGCACCGACAGCCCCGAGTTACATGAGCAGGGGAAGTCATGGGCTAGTTTCCTTGTCTGATTCCCACTGATAGGAAGGGTCCAGGCTGGACCACAGCAGCCACACTCAGATGCCCCTCTAGGGCCAAAAACGAAAAGCTGGGCATGGAGGGGTAGGGGACAGGCCTGGGCAGACAGGGGAGCCACACTGGGCATGGAGGGGTAGGGGGATAGGCCTGAGCAGACAGGGGAGCCACGCTGGGCATGGAGGGGTAGGGGGATAGGCCTGAGCAGACAGGGGAGCCACGCTGGGCATGGAGAGCTAGGGGATAGGCCTGGGCAGACAGCTGGGCTTGGCTGTAGCACTCAACTCAGGCTCCCCGTCTCTTACCTCCCTGCAGTTCCCGGGAACCTGAGCCTGAGCTCCGGCCTGCAGCCCCTCGGCAGCACGCTGAAGCTGACCCTCAGCTTTAGCCAGGAGATCTCCAACCTGACCTGGTTCCTGAAGAGGCCCGGAGAGTGCTGGAACATCCTGCAGCCAGGGGCACAGGTGTCTCTGAACTTCAGCCAGGACCAAGCTGTCCTCACGGTCACTGACATGTCCCAGGAGTGGGCAGGTAGCAGCCTGTCCTCTCCTGCCCCCTGTTTTTCTCTTTCCCTTTTCTTTCTCTCCATCCCTCCCCTACTCTTCCCCGTCCCCTCCCTCCCCTACTCTTCCCTGCCCCCCACTTCTTTCTTTTCTTCTCATCTTTTCCTGGCCCTTTCCATCTTCCCATTGACTCATTCCAGGGAAACAAAGGCACGGAGGCCCATTACCATATGGAAAATTCTAGAAAGAGCCAGCTATTTTCACTACAGTCTGGGGACTTCTGGGACCCTTCCAGGGGCTCACAAAGTCCTCACGATGGCGCTGACCCTGTCACTCCTCAGGGGTGGGCAGAGTGCCCTCCAGGGCCGCAGTGCCGTGATGGAGGTGGAAGAGGCAGACGGGGGGACCTGGCTGGCTCCCACTCGGCCAGACTCTTCCAAAGAGATTTGCAGAGCTCTAAAGCAGCATTACTCATCTATGTTCTCCTATGGAAAATATAATTATTTTTCAGGAAAGCACTTCTGTTACTTTTTCCTCCCGTAACGTGGAGAATGCTGAAGGCACAGTCTGGATTTGGCCAGGTGCTGACCCGGCTGTGGGCTCCCCGGAGGGGTCAGAAGCTCTTCTGCAGATCCCCTTTTCCTTCTGGAAATCCTCCCGGGGCAGGGAGTGCCTTCCCAAAAGGCCATCCTTGGACTGAGCTCCGGGTGGGAGGGGAGTGAGAAGGGGAGCCTGGGCTGTGGGTGGAGGCAGCAGAGCTGTGGCCACAGCAGCCGTGCGTCTGCAGGTGAGTACATGAGCTACTTCGAGGCCCAGGGCTTCCTGTGGGAGCTGCACCAGACGGTGAGTGTGCCCTTGGAGGCGTCAGACGTGGCTCAGCTTCTAGACCAGCCCTCCGTCACCTGCACCGGCTCCTCAGGCTTCCAGCTGAGCTGCTGCACCCCCAAGACACCGCTGACCTACACGGCTTCCTGGAGCCCCGGGGAGGACAGCCAAGGTAGGAGAGGGCCCAGCAGTCGGGGTCGGTATGGAAGAGGGCAGTAGGGCAGTTGGGGAAACAGAGGCTGCAGTGGAGGCTGGGAGTTGGGACTCCAAGGCCAGCACCGTCTTGACCCGGTCAGAGGAGTCCCCGTTCTGTGGCTGTGGAGTCACCGTGTGTTTGGGTTTGCAGAATGCAGAATGCAATCCCATTTCATGCTCAGTGAGCTTGGGGATGTTAGTGTTTGTCCCCATTTGACAAACAAGGGCTCACTAGGACCCCCAGGGTGCCCTTAAGCAAAACCCAAGTTCTGCCCGTGGGAGTTGAAGCCCACACACCCCTTGGCCCTTCTCCCCACCCCACCCCACCTCCACCCCTACCCCTACCTGCTTCTGGAAATGCTAGGACTGAAATGACATGTCTAGACCAGCTGGGTTCTAGGCCTGTCCCAGGCCTGGTGACCATCCCCTCCTCCCACCTCTGCCCTCTCAGCCTCCCTTCTGCACACGCCCAGCTCTCAGTGCCTGGTCCTGGCTGTCCCACACTGCCCGGCCACTGACACCACGTACACGTGCGAGCTGCAGAGCCAGGGCTTGGCTCCTCTCAGGGTCCCTGTATTCGTCACCATCCTCCGTGGTACATGGGGTCTGGGGGTCTGGCTGGCCAAGCCCTCAGCTGCTTGCCCTGGGAGCGACAGCCTCCTATCCTGGCAACATAGCCCAGCCCCGGGGCCTGCGAGCAGGTGTCTACCCGAGGAGCACCGCAGGCTGGACTGCGGTTGCAGTCATCCTTATCATCGTCTTCAGACGGAGATGTCACCTGCCCCGAGGACTCCTTGGTGGTTGCCTGGAATGTCACCAAGGCTGGCCACGAGGCACAGGCCCCATGTCCTGTGGGCAAGAGGGGCGTGGTGAAGAGGCTGTGTGGGCCTGACGGGCTCTGGGGTGCCATTGACTACAGCTGCACAGACACGAGGCTCCTGAACTTGTTTGCCAAGGCTAAGGTAAAGTGGTCGCCCAGCTGCCTACAGGCTTCCCCAACCCCTGCCAGGGCCTGGCTTAGGATCCTGTCCCTCTGAGAGGCAGGCTCCTCACCTGTTCTCACCTGCATCCCCCCGCAGAGCCCCTGGGGCCTGCACTCTCCACGAGGGACCACAGGCCCATCCAGTGTTTGTGCCCCAACACGGGTGTCCATGCCTTCCTCATAGCCCCTGCACACCGCTCCCTCTAGGAAGGGGTGTGGGGGTGGTCGGGGGAGGCAAGGACCTGGACAAAGGAAGAGGCGGTCCTACTCTCCTGAGGACCCTCTCGCCACCCTCCTTCCTGCCCTCTGATCTGTTCCAGCTGCTGCTGGCAGGCCGGGGCAAGCCTGCTGAGAAGGTGCCGAAGATCCTGGCCCGGATGTCGCGGCTGGTGGAGGAGGCCAGCTCGCCCTCTGACTTAGTGTCACTGCTGGGCACCATAGAAGCCTTGGCCAAGGTGGTAGCCACAGCCAGTGTACAGCTTAACCGCAGTGCCCTGCAGGTGAGCTCTCTGAGTGCTCTGAGAGCGGTTGGGTCAGCGGGGCAGGGAGGGTTGAGGTTCTGCAGCTCCGGGCACTCCCGTCCCTGGGGCAGCACCGCGGGCTGTCAGACAGCAGACCTTCCAGAGCCCAAGTGCCTGCTCCCTGTCTGTGTCTCCTCTTGGACACAGGCTGCAAGGCCGCGGAGCGTGGAGAAGGCCTGATGTGGGGAACACACAGGAAGCTGGAAGGCAGGCAGGGGAGTGGAGACTTGAGTGCAGAGGCATGCATGCACAAGCACACACACACACACACACACAGATATTCAACACACTTGGCTTTGTGGGACTCACTAAATCAGCTCCCAGTAGGCGTGTTATTGGTCACCCACAAGCTGCAGCCAAAAGGACCACAAAGGGCATTGCTACCACACACACCCTTTCAGTCTGGGAAGATAGAGCATGTGTGGGTGCACCCACCTGGAGGAGTTGAGGACTTGGAGACGAGCCCTCCTAGTGCCCAGGTCACCCCAAGGCAGGGTGGGGTGTGGGTCAGGAGACCACAGACTTGGAGATGCCCCTGGGGAGGAAGGGAGCCAAGCAGTGCTGTTCTTCCCCACTAGAAAGCCTCCTCTCACAGGCCTGTCCTCCTCTCTCCTCTTCTCTGCAACCCTGGGGCTCACACTAGGCCAGGAAGGGTGGGCTCTACAGAACCCAGTGCTCCTGCTCTGCGCTGTGGGCTCTTGCATAGCAGGCTCATCTCTGTTGGGTGCCACAGGATCTCCTGACAACCACAGACAAGGTGCTAGACATGGACATCAGCTCTCTGTGGACACCGGCCCAGGACAAGGAGCCCTCGGCGAGCTCAGACCTCCTCCTGGCTCTGGAGACCCTGGCGCGCAGCCTGTGCCCGCCGGATCAACCGTTCACCTTCAACTTGACCAATGTGCAGTTGGACAGCCAGCTCTACACGCCCTCTCTCTCTCCTGACTACAGGGTCTCCTTGCCCCCCGTGCAAGTTCAGATCCCCCAGCACTCTCTGGCCCCACATGTCCCTAATGGAACCAATGTCAGGATCACCAGCTTGTTGCTACAAAAACTGGGCCAACTTCTGCCCCCAAATTATGGGCAGGAGCTGGGAGACGCCCTGTACGTCACTTCTGGCCAGATCCTCTCCATCTCCATCATGGCTGGTAGCCAGGCCATCAATCAGGTCAAGGTCATCATGAACTTCGGGGACATAAATGGTAGCGCCCACTGTGTCTTCTGGGACTACAGACTTTTCCAGGGCAACGGGGGCTGGTCAGAGGAAGGGTGCCAGGTGGCCAGCGCTCAACCCCCCCCTCGGTGCATCTGCCAGCACCTCACTGCCTTCTCCATCCTTATGTCCCAATGCTCTGTCCCACAGGCACCAGCCCTAGGCCTGCTGAGTCAGGTGGGCTTAGGGGCCTCCATAGCGGCACTGCTCGTGTGCCTGGCTGTGTACAGGCTGGTGTGGAGAGTCGTGGTGCGGAACAAAGTCGCCTACTTCCGCCACGCTAGCCTGGTCAACATGGCACTGTGCTTGCTGGCTGCAGACACCTGCTTCCTGGGATCCCTGCTGTTTCGTCCTGAAACCCACAGCCCGCTCTGCCTGGCCACGGCCTTCCTCTCTCACTTCCTCTACCTGGCTACCTTTTTCTGGATGCTGGCACAGGCCCTGGTGCTGGCTCATCAACTGCTTTTTGTCTTCCATCAGCTGTCCAAGCACCAAGTGCTCCCCATCATGGTGATCCTTGGCTACCTGTGCCCACTGGGGTTTGCAGGGCTCACCCTGGGCCTCTATCTACCTCGAGGGCAATACCTGAGGGAGGGAGAATGCTGGTTGGATGGGAAGGGAGGGGCGCTCTACACCTTCGTGGGGCCAGTGCTGGTCGTCGTGGGCGTGAACGGACTGGTCCTGGCCATGGCTGTGCTGAAGTTGCTGAGACCATCGCTGTCAGAGGGGCCCCCGGCGGAGAAGCGCCAGGCTCTTCTGGGGGTGGCCAAAGCCCTGCTCATCCTCACACCCATCTTTGGCCTCACCTGGGGGCTGGGCCTGGCCACTCTGCTAGAGGAAGTCTCCATAGTCCCTCATTACATCTTCACCATTCTCAATGCCTTCCAGGTAGGTGGTAAGGTGGTGGCTGTGTGAGCTGCCCTTTCTCAAGGTGGATAGGTTCAGGATAGAACTGAAAGAGCAGGCCCAGGGACGATAGAAGGCTTAAGAATGGATCCCTTGGGGCCGGCATTGTGGCATAGTGGGTAAAGCTACTGGTTCGAGTCCCCGCTACTCCACTTCCGATCCAGCTCTCTGCTATGGCCTGGGAATGCAGTAGAAGATGGCCCAAGTCCTTGGTCGCCTGCACCTGAGTGGGAGACCTGGAAGAAGCTCCTGTCTCCTGCTTCGGATCAGCACAGCTCTGGCCTTTGTGGCCAATTGGGGAGTGAACTAGTGGATGGAAGACCTCTCTGTCTCTCCTCTCTGTGTAACTCTGACTTTCAAATCAATAAATAAATCTTTAAAAAAAAAAAAAAAGAATGGATCCCAGTGCCTACACTGACCAACTGGATCACTCTGAACAGATTACATAGCCCCTCTGAGCTTTTCTCTCTCTCTCTCTCTCTCTCTCTCTCTCTTTCTCTCCCCCCCCCCCCTTTTTTAAGATTCATTTATGTATTTGAAAGAGTTTTAGAGAGAGAGACACACACACACAGAGCGAGATCTTGTATCCTCTGGCTCCCTCCCCAGGTGGTCTTAATGACCAGGGCTGGGCCAGGCTGAAGCCAGGAGCCAGGAGCTTCATCCGAGTCTCCCATGTGAATGGCAGGGACCCAAGTACTTGGGCCGCCTTCTGCTGCTTTTCCCAGGCCATTAGCAGGGAGCTGGATCGGAAGTGGAGCAGCCAGGACTCAAACCAGCGCACTCATGGGATGCCGGCATTGTAGGCAGCAGCTTTACCAGCTACACCACAGCACCTGGCCCCTGAGCTTTGGGTTTCTTGTCTGTAAAATCCCATCTGGTTTTGCCAAAGAAATCAGGAAATTGCCAGTCCCCAATCCTTTAATACCCCGCTTTGGGACCATAGCAATAAGCGAAGCACCTGCGTGGATCCAGTGCGACAGTTGGGCTCATGTGCAGAGAGGTGGAGTCGGGAAGCCTCGGCACGTGGGTTACCAGGAGGACGGAGGCTGCGGGCAGACGAGGGGGAGCGAGGTGTCCGAGTCGGTCCCCTGCCGGTGACCAGCCTGCCCCACGTCCCTCTCTCAGGGTGTCTTCATCTTACTGTTTGGCTGCCTCATGGACAAAAAGGTGAGTCTGCCCACGTAGCCCCTGGCCTGCTTCCAAGTCCCACGTGGGGAGTTGGGCTGCCTACGTGGGCACTTCCCTCGCCTGCAGGTACGAGAGGCCTTGCGGAAACGCTTCTGCGGCACCCAAGCCCCCAGCTCCGCCATCTCCCTGGTGAGTCGCCGGCCTCCAGCCCTCAGCTGTCCCCCAGCAAGGCCACAGGGTGTCCCGCAGCTGCCCTCAGGGGCTGGGGAAGATCAGGGCTGACTTTGAGGAGCAGCTTTCAGGTTCAAGGTCTCCAACAGTGGAGGGAGCAGTCAGAATCAGCTTCCTGGGACTTGGACTCCTCCCGGCTCTCTGGTCGCTGATTTCCTATCTGAGAGGCCGTGTCTGGCTAGATGGGAAGGGAGAAGGGAGGACGGTGCTCATGGGAGCTGCTGTCGCCGAGAGCAAAGTCCCAGGATGACTGCAGCCCAGGCAGGAGGGCAGCAGGCCAGAGTGCAGAGTGGGCGCCCCTTTTCCGGGCGGAGTCGCCGGTGATGACCGCCCTGCAGCTGGGCCTCTCCACCTCTTCCCAGGCCACAAATGAAACCCAGGTCTTGGACCACAGCAGAGGAGGAAGTGAAGACAGCAGGTGAGACCCAGGGAGCAAGGCTGAGTGTAGCAAAGCCCCCAGCAAAGCTGTGACAGAGGCTTCTCTTTCTAGACCTGGCCCAGCCCAGAGGGTGGGGGCAGGCTTTTCTAGGGGAGCTGTTCCTGGTGGGTGGGGGCAGGTGCAGGCCTCAGAGAGCAAGGCACAGCCTCTTCTATCGTTCTCCCAGAAAGCTGGGGACTCTAACTACCAGCCTCCCCCGCCTCGGTTCACTCTGAAATTTTCCTATCATGCTATCAAATTTTTAACTCTTCTGAAACGCCTTGAAGCCTTGGTGGGCTTGGAGCCCTGGAACTGGGCTGGGGGCTGCCTGCAGAGGCTGGGCAACTTGTCCCCTCACCAGCACTGAACTTAAAGGCAAGCTCTTTCCCAGAGAAGACGGACGCTTCAGAGTGAGCCACATACTGGCCCGTGTTCTGCGAGGGAGTTGGCGGGTGCTGGCACCTACTAGATGGGCTCTGACCCAACACCCTGAGCCCTCGGGAAAGGCAGGCTGATGTTTCCATCAGTCACACTCAATCCTCTTGCAGCCCAGCTGTCCCCACCTCAAAGTACCTAAGCAGGAGTAGCATGAAAAACTGACTCACGCTACCTAGGGGATAAACTTGCTTATGATATGAAACTCATCAACAGAAGCCAAAGTCCAAAATAATTGGAAGTAAAGCAGTCTCAACCAGGTTTTAACGAATAGCAGTACATGGTATATATTTGATACACATAGCTTCCACTGTCCAGTGAGTTCTGTTTTGATGATTTCTTGTTGATAGTTATGAAGAAAAGACCACTTAATCAACAGGAACCTCTGATCTTCCAAGCTTCGGAGATGGAGGGCAGAATGTGGTATCTTTTAAAGGTCTAGGAAGAGATGCTCATTGGTTCCTCTTTATTTCACCTTTAAAAAGTATAAATATGAAATGCAAGTTGCAGAGACACTGATGGGGGCACATTAGTTAAAAATGCATTATGGGTAAGGCTATTGCCTGCAGTGCCGGCATCTCACATGGGTGCTGGTTCGAGTCCCGGCTGCTCCACTTCCGATCCGGCTCTCTGTTACAGCCTGGGAGAGCAGTAGAAGATGGCCCAAGTCTTTGGGCCCCTGCAACTGCATGGGAAAACCCAGAGGAAGCTCCTGGTTCCTGGCTTTGGATCGGCACAGCTCCAGCCATTGTGGCCATCTGAGGAGTGAACCAGCAGATGGAAGACCTCTCTCTCTCTCTCTCTCTCTCTCTCTCTCTGCCTCTTTGTAACTCTGCCTTTCAAATAAATAAACTTTCGGAAAAAATGCATTATAAAATTTTAAAGTAGTGGGGAAGACATCACTGACTGACGGGAACGAAAGAGAAAAGGTTGCAAACACTGGCGGTTAAGTGTCAGTCTTAGAGCTAAGACACTGAGGAATGACGTAAGGAAAGCTCTGAGGAGACACAGAATTAGCTACAGAATTCATGAGAGGAAGATGATGAGTTTCTGAAAACATTTAAAGGTAAATAAATAAAAAATCATATGCATCGGTCTTTTGAAATTACACAATTCAGGGATGTTTTTATAAAGTGGGGTGGGGACATTTTCTGTTTAAATAAAAATGGATTTGCTGGCACACGCTGTTGAGACATCTTTTCATGTAGTTATGTTGTGCCTTCACTTAATTACTTTCGTGACTATTTAAAAAATGTTTATTGTTTCTTTGAGGGAGACAGTTGCTCACTTTCCAAATGCCTGCAGCTGTGTCAGGGACAGCGTGCCCAGGGGCATGTAGTCTAGGCCTCTCCCACGGGCAGCAGGGGCTCACTCACAGGAAGCTGGAGGCTGGATGTGGAGCCGGGAGTTGATGTGGGCCGTCTCAAACGTTTTGTGTAGTTAAGAGTATAAGTATGGCCGGTGCCGCGGCTCACTAGGCTAATCCTCCGCCTGCGGCGCTGGCACCCAGGTTCTAGTCCTGGTTGGGGCGCCGGATTCTGTCCCGGTTGCTCCTCTTCCAGGCCAGCTCTCTGCTGTAGCCTGGGAGTGCAGTGGAGGATAGCCCAAGTGCTTGGGCCCTGCACCCCATGGGAGACCAGGAGGAGAAACCTGGCTCCTGGCTTCGGATCAGTGCAGCCAGCCGTAGCAGCCATTTGGGGGGTGAACCAACGGAAGAAATAAATAAATAAAAATAAATAAATAAAGAGTATAAGCATGACAAGCAGAGAAACAAACAAAACACTCCCCGGAAGTGATGATTCAAAAGCATCCCAGTCCCTAGCTGGAGCACTGCTTTGGGAATCAGTGTATTTGGTCGCGGAAAGCCCTTTAATTCCAGAGCTAGCAAGGGCTCCTGGTGGAGTCCTCGCAGCTCCCAACATTGCCTGCACGGCTCCACCCTGCTCCCTTTCCGCACAGTAGCTCCACTCACGGATTTTGTCCCCCCATCCCGACATCCTCTTGTTTCCTCTCAACTTGTGATCACTCTTCGTGGAAAAAGCAGAATGGACCAGTGTGGGGTCTCCTGTATACCCCAGTGGACGTACACGGAGGACCTCAGAGCCAGCCACTGAAATCAGACAGAGCCTGGGTACCCTGCTTCTGCCTTCCAGGTCTCAAGAGAGACCAGAGGGGGCCGGCGCTGTGGCTCAGTAGGTTAATCCTCCATCTGCAGCCCCTGTATCCCATATGGGCGCCAGTTCCAATCCAGCTCTCTGATGTGGCCTGGGAAAGCAGTAGAAGATGGGCCAAGTCCTTGGGCCCTTGCACTCACATGGGAGACCTGGAAAGAAGCTCCTGTCTTCTGGCTTTGGATCGGCGCAGCTCTGGCCATTGTGGCCATTTGGGGAGTGAACCAGCAGACGGAAGACCTCTCTCTCTGTGTCTCCCTCCTCCCTCTCACTGTCTGTAACTGTACCTTTCAAATAAATAAATAAAATCTGAAAAAAAAAAAAAAAAAAGAGAGAGAGAGAGAGAGAGAGACCAGAATTAGAGGGCCCTGGGAGAAACAACAAAATGAAGGCAGGGTTGCAGAAGATAAGCTGAGAAGGGGACCTTTTTTTGTTTTTATTTTAAAGATTTATTTATATGAAAGAGAACAGAGCAGAGAGAGAGAGAGAGAGAGAGAGAGAGAGAATCTTCCCTTCTCTGGTTCATTCCCCAAACGCCCACAACAGCTGGGGCTGGGCCAGGCCAAAGCCAGGAGCTGGAGCCCAGTCTGGGTCTCCCACATGGGCCATCGCCTGCTTCATCCCAGGGTCCACAATAGCAAAGAAGTTGGATGGAAAACTGAGGCAGGACGGAAGCCAGCGAACTCTGACGTGGGATGCGGGCATCTCAGGTGGCATCGGCACAAATGCCGGCCGCAGGGATTCTTTTCCCTGGAAAGACGGATGCAAGGAAGGCAGGGATTTTTGTGTTTTCTTGGCTGCAGCAGTGCCTGCTACACGGCCAGCACTGAATGTGTATCTGTGGGCGGAATGAACAGCGAGTGTTAGAGATCACCAGAAGCGAACAGCTTCCGAAGTCTTAATGGGGGGAAGAAAGCAAACACAGGGGCTCCAACCCCACGCGCTTGTTTGGTGGCACAGAGGGTCAGATCAAAGTTCTACATGAAAAGAGGCACTGAAGTGGGGACCTTTAAGAGTAAGGATCACTTTAAGATATCTAAGGACAAACATCAAGGGCCACAGTAGACAGAGGCCAGGTCGAGCCATGGATGACTTTGCACAGCAGTCACGCCAATGAGACAGCAAACGACTCATGGGAAGTTGGGTGAACCCACAGCCAAGAACTGGGACGCCAGCAACACCAGTGAAGCCAGCTGTGTCCCCAGCCCGGAGGACACCTCTATCCTGAATATGTCTTCCTCCCCTAGAACTCCTTAAAATTGCCCTTTAAACAAATATATTTTTATGTTCTTATATATTTTATTTGAAAGGCTCCCATTCACCGGTTCACTCCCCGAAATGCGCACAGCAGGGGCTGGGCCAGGCTGAAGCTGGGAACCAGGAACTCAGCCTGGGTCTCCCACATGAATGGCAGGGGCCCAAGTACTTGAGCCATCATCTGCTGTGTCCCAGGGTGTATATTAGCAGGGAGCTGAACTTGGGCACTCCAATGTGGGGTATGGGTGTTCCAAGCTGCGCCAAAAGCCCACCCCCATTTTAACCATTTGTAGGTGTATAATTCAGCAGAGTACAATGATGTCGCTATTCAGCCAATCTCCAGATTTCCTCTTTCAAAACCAAAGCCCCTCATCCAGGACACAACTGCTCCCTAGTTTCCCTCCCTCCCAGAACCCGTGTCCCATCACTGTGAACCAATTTTAGACACCTCACATTAAGCAGAAACATACAGGATTTGTCTCTTAATAACCGGATTATTTTGTTCCCAGAAGTCTGGTCCTTGTCGATGGTGCTGAATCAGAATAATGAAGACGAGGTCTGACAGTCAGGGAGAGAGCGTCCCCTTTAATCTACCGGGAGAAGGTGACGATCGCAGACGGGGTCTCAAGAACTTCTGTCCTGCTCAGTGAGGGTGGTCTGGGGTTCTTGAGGGGTGCAAAAGGGAGGTTGGGTGCCGAGTCAGGCTGTGGGTCTGATAACAGGGTATCTCAGACATCAACACAGCTTCTTGAGAAACTGGCTAGATGGCTCGACTTTATTGAGGAGGGAACAGCAGGAGATTCTGCACAACTAAGCAGCTACACAATGCTGTGAGGCTGAGACCTGAGAGAGGCCATGTATTCTGTTAAGATTTCAGTGTTTAACAGGCTGGAGCCCGCTCAGCCTGGAGCCTGGAGCCCGTGTTCACTGCGCCCTTAAGCTATTCATTCCCTTTTCATTCTGTTACAATAATTCAAACCTCTGGTCATGCTGACCCAGGAGGGCCGGATTACTGTGTAAGCGAGCATTAGTTATCTGTTTGAACACAGGCTTTAGTCCTAGGCTTGCAGTCATCAGAACAGGAAATGAGAAACAATGTGTCTGGTCTGGTTACAACTCCCTGAGCAGAATGGCCTCAAGACCCATCCGTGGGCATGTCACGATTGCCCTCTCTTAAGACTGCCAGTACACACAGTGTGTAGAGGTCACGCCTTGCCTACTCGTCTTATTTGCTGATGGACATCAGGGCTGTTGTGAATAATCCTGCTGTGAACGTGGGTATGCAAATATTTCTCCAGGACCCTGCCTGTGATGCCTTTGCATATCCAGCCGGAAGTGGAACTGCAGCTCTACGACTTTGCATCCCCACAAATACTGCCACATCCTCACGGACACCTGCTACCTCTGTTCCTCTGACAGCAGCCATCCTAGTGACACGAGGCAATCGCTCATCGCAGTTTCGATTTGCATCTACCCGGCCGTGAGCGCTGCTGGACGTCCTCTCACGTGCTTATCGGCTATCCGCATCCTTGGAGAAATGTCTACTCAAGTTGCTTGCCCGTTGGGTAACGGGTTGGTTCTAAATTACAGTTCTATTTTCTGGATATTAACACCTTACAGGATATAGGACTTGAATACATTTTCTCCCACTCCCTTGGTTGCCTCTTCACTCTGCCGACTGTGCTCTTTGATGAAGTGTAAGTTACCTCTTTTTTCTTTTATTATAGCCAAGAAATGAGGCAAAGTCCAGTGCCATTTACTTTCCCTAAGAAAATAATTCCTTCTAAGAGTTCTGTACTTCTGGCTTTCATGTCTAGTTCTTTGATCTATTTTGAGTTAATTTTTGTGTATGGTACGAGGAACCAACTCTTTCGGATAGCCAGTTCATGGAATGGATTTTTTGGTTGTGATTATAGCCTTTATATATATACATTTTTTATTTGAAAGGCAGAGTTACAGAGAGAGACAGAGGTCTTCCATCCGCTGGTTTACTCCCCAGATGGCTGCAATGGCTGGAGCTGTGCTGATCCAAAGCAAAAACTTCTGGGTCTCCCACACAGGCGCAGGGGCCCAAGGACTTGGGCCATCTTCTACTGCTTTCCCAGGCCACAGCAGAGAGCTGGATCAGAAGTGGAACAACTGGGACTCGAACCAGCGCCCATATGGGATACCAGCACTGCAGGCGGCAACTTTACCCATTATGCCAGAGCGCTGGCCCCAGCTCTTTATATATTTTTCGATATTAACCCCTTATAAGCATTATGACGTCCTTTCCCCATTGAATGGTCTCAGCACCCTTGTTGAAAATCGTTGGTCATATATGCAAGGGTTTATTTCTCCGTTTTCAAAAGTCCATGAACTAAATCTGAGTTTATTCGGATTTTACCAGTTTGTCCTTTAATGTCTTTTCTGTTTCAGAATCCAA